AGTAACTCTTACCATTTGCAACGGCATGGATGGAACTGGAGAGCATTATGCTAAGTGAAATAAGCCAGTCAATGAAGGAAAAATACCACATGATCTCACTCATTCATGGATAATAGAGACCATTATAAACTTTTGAACAATAATAGATACAGAGGCAGAGCTGCCTCAAACAGATGGTCAAACTGCAACGGGAAGGCCGGGGAGGGTTGGGGGGCAGGAGGTAGTGGGGTAAGAGATCAATCGAAGGACTTGTATGCATGCATATAAGCATAACCAATGGACATAAGACACTGGGGGATAGGGGAGGCTAGGGGACTGTCAAGGGCGTGGGCGGGAAATGGACATATGTAATACCCTTTGTAATACTTTAAGCAATAAAAACCCAGTGATCATAGCATAGGTGATGTAATCCAAAGGGAAGACTAGAGGAGGAGGACTAGGACTATCAGAAAAAAAAATAACGAAGTCATTTAATTATTCCTTTCTGGCTTCAGGCTCCTCCTTATTGGGGAAATAAAGTATTATCATGACGCCTGCCCCTCTGAATAGCCCTGTATTCTCTGTACGGAAATTTTAGTTCTCTTATTCTAGTCTGAACAGTTTCATAGGAATTGTGGTCTCATATTAAAAGTCTAATATTCGAAGTACCTCATGATGAAGATTTCTAGGCAATTACAGTACGAGTCCATTCTACTATTTTGTACTTTTAACCTTTCTTGTCCCATGGTAGGATAATTCTTGGGTCTTTCCCAAGGTTGGCAAAGGAAAGACAGAAAATTACCTGTAATTCTTTATGCTAGCTACATCAGTTTCCACATTCTAGAAATTCCTTTTCCTAGCTTGTTTTGGAGATCTATTGCACCCCATTAAACAAATGTGCCCCTGCTAAAACCAGCCCAGGAGCCAAATGGGCATGTTCAAAGAAATCAAAAATCATTGAGAATTCACTGGAAAGCTTGTGTTTCGACTTGGTAGGTTGTCTTAGTAAATCCACTGTACTGGTGCTGAAAAGCATAAATGGTTGCTATGTAGTAGTGATGCTTATCCTATCTGCCTCCGTGGGAAGGGAACAACCTGAAGTTGAATTTATAACTCATTTTTTTAAGTGTGGAAAATTAAGGATGCTCTTAGTTGTTATATCACTTATTAATTCAAATTTGAGGGAGTTCCAATAGTATGACTCTTCTAGAAAAGACAAAATTGTACTCAGTAACTGTCTTGGGTGTTTTGTGACTATGACTTGAGCTATAAAATGTTAGCTTATGCCATGATTAGGGCCATTTGGGGGTTATGCCTCCACAAAGAATAAGTTAGTTCTTGATTCAGTGTTAGTCCAAACACTTTAAATTCCAACTTGGCATGGATGTGGGCAAGGGGAAATGGGATACATTACCATTTCTCACTGCTGGCCACCTGAGATCTGCTGTGCGCTCAGCAACAAAATCCCCACGGACATAAGCTAAGTGTTTACTTTTCCTCACGAGTTACACGTGGGGGTGGATTTCTGTTCACTGGTGTGGAAAACTAAAGGCAGAAATGCTGAATGAACAAACACACAGACAAGCCCTGAGCCTTTACCTAGGATACTGGTTGCATGGGGATTATAGAGTACTGTTATATTTTAAAGACATTATGCTAAAAATCATTAAAATTTTCCATTAATGAGCTTGATTATGCAGATTTTGAAATAAAGAAGTTGAAATGTAAAGTAGGCCTCATAGAGGTCAACCATTTGCTTTTCTAAGCTTGGCCTTCTGTATTCATTCTTGAGCACAGTTGTTGGTGGACAGGGCTGCTTGCTCTTTTAGACACAGTTCTTGTTCTGTGCTTGCCCACTTAAGGAGCAAACTTTTCCGTTGCCCACTCTAGCAACAGTCACTAACATGGGTGTGTTTACTGTACAGCGGGCACGTGCGGAATGCCTGACACATGTACTGACCCTTTACCTCTCACAACAACCTATGAGGGAGAAATCATCTCGCCCATTTTGCAGAAGAAGAAACTGAAGTCCCGAGACTTGGGGTTCACCACATAACCTCATAAATTCCAGCTGAGGCCCTGGTCCCACCCTGAGCTCCTCCCCTGCCCTTCCTTCCCAGCCCTGGCAAGGCTGCCCTTCCAGGAGCTCCCATCAGGATGGGAGGGCAGGGGAGCAGGTGGGGCAGGGCCAAGAGAAGCGGCCCAAGAAGGCAAAGAACCTGCTTCACTGTGTGAAGTTTGGAGTCACTTATGTTTTGCTTCCTCCCGCCTGCATCTTGTCCGAGCTTGTTCTCACTTCCTTTGTAACATACCCCCTTCCTGATCCTCCATCTCAGCTTTCCTAAATAACATTGCTTCACTAGATAAGGGGCAAGCTGTCCTCCACTGTGTAACAGGATTTCCCCCAGAAAGAGAAATGGTCCACGTGGGGATGGGAACCTGAAGTGGCAAATGCTGCTGAGACAGAGAGAGAACTGGGAGAGGAGAGAGGAGAGAAAGGGATACAGTAATCAAGGCTGTCCCAAGAGGAAATTTATCTACATAACCTTATGTGCAGTCGCTCTCCCTCCCTTCCCCCACCAGTTCATTCAGTTATTAACAAGCAAAGTGAAAACTGCTTTTAAATCTATGATTGCTTTATTTTTTTCTTTTATTTTTCTCTACAATTGCATCATATATTACAATCCTTCCATTCTTTCTGTAGGTCCCATGGATTAGTACTCATATTATTTGGTCCCAGTACAAAATATACAGGGTTTTGGGGGGGGGGGGTTGCCTCAGTATAAAATGCTATTTGCCCATCAAACCACAAAGAGTAATAACTTATAGCTGGTATTTTGATAAAAACCCACTGGCATTTGCTCACAAATAAGCTCATTCATTGTTAGAGAACAAATACATCTGTTCCTTGGCTCTACCCACTCTATTAGATACTCCGTGTACGTGCAAATGCTCACACAAGTCTATAGTCCAGGCCCCCGTGTCAGACTGCGCTCAAAAAACCATATAGAACTATACCCTACCCCCAAAGTGACATTCACACAAAATAAAACCTTCACGTAGTCTCATACACAGATTTAAAAAAAAAAAAAACCCACATAAATAAACGTTCTCTGAATAAGTCAAGGGATTGGTTCGAGGATATGGAGCTTCTATTGGGAGGAGGGGAGAGGGCGTGGATGAGAGATGAGGATTAAAAGAGTGGCCCAGAACACCGGCCCTGGTGCCCATGTATACACACCACACAGGGAAGCGGGCAGCAGTCTGGGAGGACTTCCTGCAGCAGCCTGTGTTCCCAAGGAAGCCCCTGAAAGGAAAAAACAGCAGAAGGCTTCCTGGTTCAGTACAAAGTACCGTTTCTTCTATTGGGAGAAAGTACACAAAGGTTCTGAAATACAGTGGAAATAGAGAACAGTGATGATGGTAACTTGACTAAAATGAGGATAGCAGATGGCACAATGGCTGCTTTAAAGGAAGAAAGGTAAGAATTTGATTTGCAGAACAGAAGGGAGCCACAGAAACTATTAGAAAAGAACTTTGTAACACCAAGGTGATGGCTTCAAGATGAGAGGAGCTGTGATCTGCATGTCAGAGTTAGGAGGGATAGATAAGGCAGAGAAAGGGTGGAGAGAAGCAGACTTACGGGGAAATTCAGTAAATAGGGTGAGTCTTATTAGCCGTGAGAAGAGATGACCAAGACCTAAAACCAAGAGAACACGGGAGTAAACATCATACCAGGGTTGATAGCTGATCCGCTTAGCGCCTAACACAACTGAAGCGGATGGACACAAGCTTATTGCTGAACGTTCATGCAAGGCCTGAGCTGAGAGCGATGGGCTGGAATCCTGACCTCCTTCCTGCCGGCCACAGGATCTGGGCAAGTGACCCACCTTCTCTACACCGCAGGCCGTTCCTGCCTGGAAGGGTGCAGTGAGGACTGACTGCAATAACAATCATGTGCGCGAAGGGCTGAGCTCGGCAATCCTCGGGCTGGGTGGACGCCATCACCCTCATGCCACCTCGGCTGCAGAAAGAGCCTCTCACTGGTGAGCTGGCAGAGGCGCCTTCATGCTGAGCCCCATCATCGTGGCTGCGGAAGGACCTGCTGTATTTCACGTCTCTGTTAATACAGCATCGCCCCTTCACATAATGCACCATCTCTGGCTGCCTCCTCCTGTGCTGCCCACCAGCCACTCCACCCACAGTCCTTTGGCTGGGCTTTCCTCCCCACACCTGCTCCCTGGTGGTCTCGTCCACGACCTTTGTCCCTGACTTATTTTTCTATAGATTCTGAGCTCCACACATGAATGTCTTCACTTACATGTGTCACACAAGCCCTGAGCTTGACACGTCTAAAATGCATGAACCAAACACGTGTTTGTGAAACGCTGACTGGATGGAACTTGACTGTCCCAAGGGCCAGAATCCTCTTCTTCTCACCAGCGGGCCCAGCCCAGGGCGTTGCGTGTCAGTAACAGTTGGCACTGTGTGGCTGTGTAAATTGTCTGTGGATCTGTTTCCTATTCTCTTGAGAGGCCTCAGACCTCCTGAGGGGGGAGCCCACATCCACTCATCTCCAGTTCCCACGAAGGATCCCCCACGGGCTCTGCACAGAGTGGATCCACATGTATTGACCATTGGTTGAGTTGAATGAGTGCTGAACGCTCCCCACATCCATCACATATTCAAACTTTCTTTCCAGGAAGCCTGTCCGCAGGACAATGGCCCCAGTGTGCTCCTCCCTGATGCCAGCAGGCCCCAGAGCTGACACTGAGGCATTCACTCCCCCACAGTCTTGCCTCTGCTCCTGTGGTTTGGCACATTCCGCATCCTCCCTCCATTCCCCTCCCTCCATCCCGGGGCTTGGCCGCTGGATGAAGCCACATGAGGTACACCTGGAGCGGGAAGGTGCAGGGAGCCGAGGACACAGAGGCACTCACCGCAGGCCATTCTCAGAACCCACTGTCTTCCTTTCTCTTCTCCTCTGCACGGGGCAGGGGCCTGCTGCACCCATCATCTCCTCCATCACACACAGGACCTCTCTCTGTGCCCATCTAACCTCAGCAGGGGCCCCGCAGGGACAGGGGCAGCCTCTGAGAGGCAGGTCCTGGAGGCTGGGACCCTCCTTGGTCCAGTAGAGCTGTGCTGTGGATGGGGCGGCCTCGCTGGGGGAGGGATGGGGAGAGAGGACTGGGGTGGAGTGAGGTGGCACAGTCTCCCTCCAGGCTGCAAATGCCCAGACAGCCCCAGTGGCAGTGGCCTGGGCCCACTCCCTGACAGTGGTTCTGCCAGCATTTCTCTCCCCGTTGGAGTGTGCAGGAGGCAGCCAATCAATGATTCTCTCTCATTATTGATGTTTCTATTCTCTTTTTCCCTTCCTCTCTGAAGTCAATAAAAATAAATAAAAGACAATTACTACCATCCTTGCTACAGCTCTCTGAACTGCGTAAAACGATTTGGGTCCTGTGATGGGGCGGAACCAAGAAAAGAAAATTACAGGAGGTGCCCAGAAAATAGTTACTGACTATGATAAGGAGACTGCAGGCCTGGCTCAGATGCAACCATTTGTGTTCAGAATTTTACACTTAAGTTTGGTTGTGCTGATATTTTAAGGACAATTGGAATAGAAATCTCTATTTTTCTTATTAATAATTTCTAAGTGCTCATTGCCTGCATCAGTTGTTCAGCTTAGCAATTACTAAGTTAACAATTACTAATTTTATAGTTAGTAATTACTAAGCTGGTTAACAATTGCTAAGTGCTTATTGCCTCCTTTACAGAGCATATGTGACTCAAATCCTACTCAAACCAATTTCAAAGGCAGTTGTAAGCCTGCCTGGGATTCATAGTAAGCATTTTCCTTAAGTGGACTGTTGGTTGAGTATTAGAAATATTTTTCCACATTGAGAATTTTCTTACCCTAAAACTTCGTAAAAGCCAATCACTAAAGCCCTTGTGACATGCAGGGGATGTGAAATAGTCCCCTGCATAAATCCTGGTTGGTAAGTGGTCGCCAAACTCATTAGTCAACAGAGCCAAGTATCAACAGTACAATGATTGAAATTTCTTTTGAGAGCCAAATTTTTTAAACTTAATCTATATAGGTAGGTGCATTGTTATTAACTTAATCTTTACTCATCATTGACCTCTCAGCCAGCAAATTTAACCATAGTCTAGTCATTAACTGAATAAGTCTGAATCCTAATTTCAGTGGTATGCTGGCAAATGTTTAAAAACCTGACTCTCGCCCTGACCAGTTTGGCTCAGTGGATAGAGCATCGGCCTGTGGACTGAAGGGTCCCAGGTTTGATTCCAGTCAAGGGCATGTACCTTGGTTGCAGGCACATCCCCAGGGAGGGGTGTGAAGGAAGCAGCTGGCCGATGTTTCTCTCTCATCGATGTTTCTAACTCTCTATCCCTCTCCCTTCCTCTCTGTAAAAAATTAATAAAATATATATTTTTTTAAAAAACCTGACTCTCAAGGGACAGAGAGAAAGGGGGGATGACATAGTATTTGCTGATCCTTTAGTATAAATACTCCCACCGTGGCCACTTTAAAGCCGACAAGGTGAAGACATTTAAGGAAGTGGAGCTGGGAAGAAGCGTGAGCTATTGGCTTCCTGACATGGTCCTCTGGACTCCACTGCTTCCTCTTCGGTGAAATGGGAATGATGGTGAGTACATCTTGCTCCCGGAATTGTTATTTCTGACCTACTTTGATCATTCATTCTTTCAATAGCATTTGTGGAGAATCAATATGAGTCAAAGGCCAGGTACTGGGGATGAAAGAGCTCACTGTTAAGGGAGCTGTGACTCAAACAAAATAATACACATTAACCAAAAAAGCCCACCTTTTTTATTCTTAAAATGCAACACGAATGCAAATTAACTTGAATTAAGTTTAATAGGATGGGTGTACAAAGGACTTCGGGTCCTCTGTCCACAATGGCTGCACATATAAGCTTGTTGTGTCATTATTTAGTATAATGAGATATTGAAGAACATGTATCTAGCAGTGGTTCTCAACCTTCCTATTGTCGCGACCCTTTAATACAGTTCCTCATGTTGTGGTGATCCCCCAACCATAAAATTATTTTCGTTGCTACTTCATAACTGTAATTTTGCTACTGTAATGAATCGTAACGTAAATATCTGATATGCAGGATGTATTTTCATTGTTTGCGACCCACAAGTTGAGAACCGCTGACTAGAGAAACTTCAATACTAATTTCTTTATATCCCATCCACTTCCAAAAAGCATTTGAAGTAGTTTATTGTGTTTTTTAAAAAAGAAATATAAGACCAAGTCCAATGATCACAAAAATAGAAACTGAGACACAAAAGGAGAAAGGAAGGAACAGATAGCAGAGGAGCTACTGAGAAGAATTCTCAACTGTTAGCCTCCTAAGAACTAAGGGAAGTGTTTATAGTTCTCAGATTTTAAGGCAATTCTTTAAAAAAAAATCACACAATGATTTCAACATGATCATTGGATGGATCTACCGTGTTTTGTATTGTTACCGTATACAGTTCTGGGAATTTATTAATGTAATTATAGAACACCTACTTGAAACATAAGAAGGATGTAAATCTAAGATCATGTTTCCCTAAGTCTGAGCCCTCAGGACCTAGTCTGTGCTTAATGAAACAGGCGCTTGGAGAGACACCTGCCCTGCTGGCCAAATCGACCTCCTACACCTTCCCCTGGGCTCCTGCATCTAGTCTGCACGGTAGCCTGGGAGGACAGCATCTCCTCCATCCGGTCTCCCCCTGCCCTCATGCTCCCCCTGCAGACCCTGTCCCAGCAGCCGGGTTCCCACAAGGCCCTGTGTAGCCAGGACTCCTACACATGGAATCCTTCCTGTCTCTATGGCCAAGTCCTCACCTCTTAGGACGGTTCAGATTTTCCTTCTCTGAGACCTCTCCAGCCAGGTTGATGGTCCTTGCTGTCCTGTTGCATGTTTCAGTTACACATTAACTATTTAGTTAATTGAGATTGTAAATGAATAGAAAGTCTTATAACCTGTTTCATTTTTTTAACCCTGTCTTTTAAAAAGTATTTTTATTGATTTTTAGAAAGAGGAAAGGGAGAGAGAGAAACACCGATGTGAGAGCTAAACATCCATGGACTACCTCCTGCACTCCCCCTACTGGGGATTGAGCCCATAACCCAGGCATGTGCCCTGACTAGGAATTGAACAAACAACCCCTTGGTCCACTGGACAACATGCAACCAACCGAGCCATACGGCCAGGGCTGTTTCATTTCTTATGGAAATGAAAAGCAAAGCGCACCCTGGCTGGTTTGGCTCAGTGGGTAGAGCATCAGCCTGCGGACTGAAGGGTCCCAGGTTCAATTCCGGTTGGGGGCATATGCCCGGGTTGTGGGCTCGATCCCCAGTGCGGGAGGCAGCTGTTCAATGATTCTCTCTCATCATTGATGTTTCTCCTCCCTTTCTCTCTGAAATCAGTAAAAATACATTTTTTTTAAAAAAAGAAAAGCAAGGTGCTATTAGACCAAAGATCACCTTGTAACATTTTTTAGAATAGAAATATATAGAGAGAATAATTATAGAGCAAGGAAGAGTAGCGAAGAGGATCTAGTCCAGCTCTTTTACACATAAAGAAACAGACCCTGAGGAAGGAAGTGACTTGCTCGAGACTATCCAGCGTTTAGTTGTAGAAATCGACTTGGAACTGTAGTCTGTTGTCCCAGTATTTTTATAACACCCCACTATTTTCGTTTTGGCTTTTCTTTCATAGCCAGCAAGTAAGATTTGAGATATTCACCAATAGAACTATTAACCACCACAGAACTTACAAGTACCCGGAGAACATACATCTCTGATCCCTCCTTCACACCGTTCCCCTCCCCTGGGACACACATACACTCTTGTTCCCCTCGCTTGCTTTTTCCAAAACTCTGTTCAAACTTCAGTCACTAAATATTTCCAGTGTCTTTCCCCACCCTGGGCTAAATTAGATGTCCCTCCAGTTTATGTCAAGTCTTGTGTAAAAAGCACTATTACCTTCTCACTCTCTATTGTACTATATTTTTTTTGTTATCTTGTCTATTATTATGAATTCACGAAAGCCTGGGAGTGTATCTGGTTCATTTTTCTATCCAACTACCTATAATTATGCCTGGCTCCTAGCGGGAAGTCAATAAATATTTGGTGAATGCGTTAATTATTTTGACAGGGAAACAAGACCAAAGCTGTGGTTCTGGTTTTGGCTGAATGCATGAGAGGTTTACCGAAGGGTGGAATTGGAACTGAACTCTGGAGCATGATTAGAATATGAGAGATGTGGAAAACAGTGACATAACACTGGTCTGGCTCAGGGGTTGCCAAACTTTTTCTGGAAAGGGCCAGACAGCTGGTAGGTGCTGAATTCAGGGGCCCAGGGCTGACTTATTTGGGTCCTTGATCAGACTGGGAAGAAAGGAACCTCTTTGCTTCTGGTGATTGTAATCTCAGCTTCTCCATCCCACAGCTTCTGCTTTTCATTTCTGGACCAGGCTTTGTGCTGATTCACTTATTCAGATGTTTCCTGCTTCTTTGTGCAAGAAGCATATAGCTCTGTCACAATAGCCATCACAGCCAGGAATGAACACCTGGGCACCCCAAAGAGGTCTCTTTCTGGAAGCTAGCTTCCCTAGATTCTCTCTCAGCCAGATTCTTCCTTTGGCCCATGTGGTCACATGTGAAATTCACATATCAGAGCTCTTACCTACGAACTGTCCATGCAACAAAATGATAGCTTTTTTTTTCCTAACAAAATTGGAAAAA